CTGACGTGCATTTCATTGTGGGCCCAGTGGGGGCAGCAAAGAAAGTTCCTGCTCACAAGGTTGGTGGGATCTTTTCTATTTTTGCCATGTAGATGAATTGTGTATTAAAAGATGCTTGTTCCCTTGTCCTTTTAACTCAAGTGAGGACATTGTTGCACAAATGCAACAAAACAATTGCCTAGAAATATCAGCATATCAGCAGTTTGGGTTTCAAGGTTGACTCAGCCTTCCATCTTTCCAAGGTTGGTAAAATGAGGACCCAAGTTGTTGGGGGCAATATGTTGACTCTGCTAACCGCTTAGAGAGGGCTATAAAGCACTGTGAAGTGGTATATAAGTCTAAGTGCTATTGCTATATATTTCCTTGCAGTTAATCTGCGGTTGAGTCACAGTAGGGGGAGGGGAGGGATCCAAACTAATAGCGGTTTTTTGAAAAAAAGTATGCTGATATATTCTGATCTAAACCATTATAGCTAAGTGGGAGATAGGAAAATTAAAGTATTTGATTCTCTGTCTACCAATCCCTGATTTTGAATTTATAATTTTTAATGCAGTATGTACTGGCAGTGGGTAGTTCGGTCTTCTACGCAATGTTTTATGGAGATCTTGCAGAGGTCAAGTCTGAAATCCATATACCAGATGTAGAACCTGCTGCTTTTCTAATCTTATTAAAGTAAGTAGTAATTCAGACAAGTTACCAATTGCATGGCTTTTTAAACCAAAAATTGAAGGACAATGAATGTAAAAGTTTAAAATCATCAAAAAAAAAATGTTGAAAGCTATAACTAAGAGTTGTGTGTTTTTCTTTTTTAAAAAGGGAATCTTTTTATATCCATAGGTACATGTATAGTGATGAAATCGAGCTGGAAGCAGACACTGTGCTTGCTACTCTATACGCAGCCAAGAAATACATTGTCCCAGCCTTAGCAAAAGCTTGCGTCAATTTTCTGGAGACTAGCTTAGAGGCCAAGAATGCTTGCGTTCTGCTGTCTCAGAGCAGGCTCTTTGAAGAACCAGAGCTGACACAACGCTGCTGGGAAGTCATTGATGCTCAAGCTGAAATGGCACTGAAATCAGAGGGCTTCTGTGAAATAGATCAACAGACGCTAGAGATCATTGTGATGCGGGAAGCACTAAACACCAAGGAGGTTGTGGTGTTCGAGGCAGTTCTGAACTGGGCTGAGGCTGAATGCAAGCGACAAGGGCTGCCAATTACGCCAAGGAACAAGAGGAATGTATTAGGGAAAGCTTTATACTTGGTTCGGATTCCAACCATGACTTTGGAAGAGTTTGCCAATGGGGCTGCTCAGTCTGACATCCTGACCCTTGAGGAAAGACATAACATTTTCTTGTGGTATACTGCTGCAAATAAACCGAAATTAGAATTTCCACTAACAAAGCGGAAAGGACTTGTACCTCAAAGGTGCCATCGATTTCAATCGTCTGCATATCGCAGCAATCAATGGAGGTACCGGGGACGATGTGACAGTATCCAGTTTGCGGTAGATAAAAGGATATTTATAGCAGGACTGGGACTCTACGGATCAAGTTGTGGAAAAGCTGAATACAGCGTCAAAATTGAACTGAAGAGGTTAGGCATTGTACTTGCCCAGAATCTGACAAAGTTTACATCAGATGGATCTAGTAACACTTTCTCAGTATGGTTTGAGCATCCTGTGCAGGTTGAGCAAGATACCTTTTACAATGTAAGTGCCATTCTAGATGGCAATGAACTCAGCTATTTTGGACAAGAGGGAATGACTGAAGTACAGTGTGGAAAAGTGACATTCCAATTCCAGTGTTCCTCAGACAGCACCAATGGCACAGGAGTGCAAGGAGGACAAATACCTGAACTCATTTTCTACGCATGATGCATTTCACTTAGATTGTATTCCAGGGCTGTTCTACATATTAATAGATACTCTGATCTGACTAAAAGACTGCAGAGCAGGCCAGAGTATTATAGTACTTACTTATCTATTTACCATCAGGCTATGAAATTAAGTGAAGGAATGCTCTTGAATTTAATCTTATTTTATTTATTCATAAGCTATTTGACTTAATTATTAAACTGCAGTATGCAGAGCAAGAAATGTTTTAAAAAATTGCACATGATGTGCATTTATTTTGTATATAGACAACTAACGGCTGAGACTGACTCAACTAGAATGTTATAAAGTAGAGCAGTTTGAGAACTTGTTGAATATAAAACATTTTTACTTGTCCTAAATCCTTATGTGCTTTGCTCATTATTAATCCTCTGGTACTTGAACCACATCAATATATGCAGAAATAGTAACACTTTTTTTAAAGATGAAACATAAGGTGTTATAATTCCACATCTATGTAAACAAAACCTCTTACTAAGACTGAAGACACATCTGAAACTAAGATTGCACTACAGAACAAACATTTATTTTTATATAGCATTAGTGGAAATGTATGTCCCTAAAACATAATGAGTAAAATAAATATAATTTCCCAGGAGATGAATTTCTCTTCTTATAAACATATGTACAAAGAAAAGGAACATCTAAAATTTCATAATTCTGTAACACAGCAACAGAATCTATAGTATAATAAAATTGTTATACAGTGCTTTCCTCTTGATCAACAAAAGCCACTTCACTGTGGCTGTATTCATAGATCATGATTAATCTACCCAGCACACACCAATCAAACTTTGTATCAATATACCAGACCCTTGTTTGACTTATTTAACCATATTGTGTGGAAACAGGCCTGAAAGTGTTTTCAAAATTTTAGTCCTATGTTTGTTTACAGAATGGTAAGCTAATAACTATGGGCAGGCAGCTATTTCCTCTCACAAAACATTTTTCATTACTTGGTTCCATGTGTCCAAATTGATTTGTCACAGATCATGTAATGAAATGTAATAAACACATTCACTTGATTTTCAACATCAGAATACTACAGGAATCTACTTTGAATACCATGGCATTTACTTCTGAGAAAGTAAACTGAGGATCAAGCTGTTTAATTTAGTCTTTATAATTTAATAATCCCCAGGAGGAGATTGTCAGCCATCTGTATATGTAACTATAGAGACAGCCCAAGAGGCATGCAACAAAACTATCACAAATTGTTATCTTGCAGCTACTGCGCTCTACAAAATGAGGTTTACTTAGTGTCCTTTCCACTCCTGTTCATCCAGCAATGGAGACGTATGCTCATCAAACCACAGGCACTTAACTGGGCAGTAGTATCTGCCAAGATCTAAAGGAGCTTATGAGCTATGTAACCAAGGGGATTCCGGATTTGTTTTCCATGACACATTTCTACTATAGGAGGAAACTTCACAATATTTAACAGAAATATGGGTGTATATATAATGTCCGATATAGTTCCTCATGTAACCTTTTTAATAAGCATCATTCTAAAATTACGAGATAAAAGCAAATACCTTTTCAATCTCAATATTGTGCTAAATTTATATATTAAAATGTATGATATTAATATGTTAATTGTCTGTGATCCATCTCTGAAAATTTAAAATTCCTTATAACAGTTATAAGGTCCCCTTACACAGCTATAGTCTTAAGTAATTAGACTGAAAAAGCATCTCTGAATTATATCCTAAATACATATCCTACTATGTGAAACCAACAGCATAATCATCTAACCAGCATGCACAACAAGCTAATTTAGGGAAACATCTCGCATAGCTTGCCAGCACTGTTGCTAGGAGCATTAGTCAAAACATCCCTGGTTCAAATGACTTCTCTCCCATTACCACTCCATATGGTCATAGGCAAGCCACTTTCTCAAGAATAATGGTCTGTTTTAAGATTACTCAGATAATATACAAAGTGCTTTAGACACTCTAAAATGGTATATAAATTATTCAGAATGTCAGAAATGAATTATTCTACTTTTTGTTAGCAGTAAATTTTGACATTTTCTAACATATCACGCCACTTTCCCAGTATCTCCAGAAATGACTTAATGAAAATGTTCAGTTCATTTCTGACATCATGGTATAATGCCGTTACCACTGTTGATACATCAAAGCTGTTAAGAACATTTTTATAGGGATTAGTACCGCAAACTAGAGACATATGATACTAAGACAATGGTTGGGCATTTCTCTGTTTTCTGCAAAAGCAGCACAAGCACATTTCTTTTGTCATAGAAATGTTCTTTGTACATTTAAACTGTCTACAGAGCTCTTACAAAAAATAATTTTCTTTAAATCATCTTTTTCAAAACAAATAATGACCTGGTTTGCTTACAAGTCTAAGTTATAATGAATAGCTTAGAAAAACTAACAGTATAGTATGTCTAAGCATGAACCAGGTCACAGAGTCAGTGGTATATATAACATCACTATTATAATTACTGTCCACAACTCTTGATGTAGAAAGGATCATGTTTTGGATTTTGCAAAATTGCAAAAGCAACATTACCCTTTTTTAAGGAGACAGACCTCAAATCTCAAACTTCAAGGAGACAGGCCTCAAATCCCTCTAAAATAATCAAGCTCTTTATTATTCATTCACTTTCCTTTTCTACTTTTAACATTGTAAGTCCTCATCACATATAATCCTGGGAAAGAATAAACTTTGTTTAAGCAGCTGTTGGCAAATGCAATATTCTATATTTGGGCTTTGTTCCATGTTCATGTCTCTGCATGCTCTAAAGTACATTTGCCATTAAGTCCAAAGCACTTATTACCATCCTTATTTTATTTCTGTTGAATGTTAGTTCAAATATATGTTTTGTTACAGTTACTTCAAAAGATGGATATAACTGGAAGAAGTCACACTGATAATTAGAAGTAATCAGCTTTACTTCAGTTTCAGTTTTAAGGTAAATCCTGAGCTTACGTAGACAGCTTTCATTTCTAGATTCCTCCAGTCTTAATTCTGAAGTATCTTTAAATACCAGTTAAACAACCCATGTAAGTATTTTTGAAAAGCTGCCATGAGATGATGATACATTGTAACTACATATCAAAAGCCAACTCTTATTTAAAAATACCTATAGCTGGAGCATTTATGCAGAGCTCTCGGGCCAACAGAAGAAATGTCTTTCCCAGCACATAGACGTTCACCTGTATAAAGGGGAAAAAATGATTCTTTGAATTATGAAGCAGAAGAATATATCTGTCTTTAGAATTAACAGCCTGAAAATAATCATCTAATGTTTAAATAAGCATCAAAATGTTTTCAAATAAATCTCAAATTTCTCTGACACAGCCAATTACTTAACCAAATTATTTAGCAAGGGGGGAAAAACCTAATAGATTGCACGTAATTTTGACTTAGTGCTACCAGAGGGAAAAACAGGTTATGTTTATATAAGATAGGGTAATCAATTTTCACTGAAATTTTCATTGGCCAGCAGCCCCTTCCTTTGAAAAGCTGCTTCTAAATCTTAGATGACCATCCAGAATAAAACGGAATACAGCACAGAATTCTGCAGTAAAGAGAAATAATGAAAACTCTATGGGAGTAGTTTAAAGCCTCTACAGTACTAATGCAAAACTACAAAAAGAGTTTTGTAGTCTACAAAAACAGATACTTTGTCATTTTCCAAGATTCTTCTCATATATGAACTTCTATGTTCTTTTAATGCCCTTTATTTTTCCTAAGCATTTTTATTCAGGTTTACATACATATTTTAATCAGTTATGTAACTGATTGGGTACCAGCTCAATTATAACAGTTATGATTTACTGATATAAACTACCAATCCCCAAATAACTGAAAGTTTAATCTATATTTGTTTAATATTACTGGAATTGAAGAAGCATGGCTCCCAATTGCAAGATTGCTAATAAGTAAGATATGAAAAGTGTGTCTTGATTCTTCTCCTTCAGTGATCCGAGTTCCAGGTTGCCTCTTTGAAATATATGGGAGAAAGAAGCTACATCAATCTTGCAGACAAATATACAAACTAACATAGCACTGCATTATCCCAATATATGAAAGGTAAACTTCTGAGATCAGGTGAAATTCCCTGTGAATTATAACCTAAACAAGAACTATCCTGCCATAAGCGTCTGTAGTTTCTGCAGTTTCAAAAATCTGTTCACCACCCCACGTGCAACGAAAGTAAAAATAAAAACAAGGAAGCAAATAGCCTTGCACTTTATCTTCAGAGGTGTCAAAGAGAAGTGCAAAGTAGATAAATGTCTTCCCAGGGCAAAAGGAGGAGGTGTGAAATAGTCAACTAGTATTTCCCTTAGAGTACCCAAAGCTCCTAATCTACCAATACAAGTGATTCTCAATTTTATTTTCAGTTATTGGGACAATGAAAAAATAATGATCAAGTAGCATAAAGTGTAGAGAAAAGGTCAGTACACAGTGTCATCCAGAAAAACTGGATTACGCTGCTAACAACATCCTCAATACTGTTCAACATGTTCAGAATTTCAAAGTAGACTTTCTTAATACATCTGTGGACAGCAGGCTATGAATCATCTCATTCAAGAATTCTTGGTAACTACATTCTCCGTGCTTGTTAATCATTTGTTCTTTACTGTATCCAGAACTATGCAATACATAAAATTTTGTAAATTTACTGAAGATAAATTTTACTGCAGATTTTTTAAATCAAAAACCCTACAGCTTTAACACTTTTGCCAAGTTGTAATTTCATGCTTTTTCACTGAGTAGCTATAAAAAACTGATCAACAATCCATGTTTTGTTTGAGAAGTCAAACGGTTATCTGAGCCAAAAGCTGTAATACTCTCTTATTCTCTCATTACATTTATGTTCATACCTTTCCATTTAAAGAAAGAGGTAATGAATATATTAATTAATGGATCAGTTTGGTGTAGTGATTACAATGTTGATCTAAAAACCAGGAAACTATGAATTCTAGACTTTGACCAACCTCTTTCTCTCTCTCAACACAACCTACCTAACAAAGGTTGTTATTGTGGGGGGAAAGAAAAGGAGGAAGGAGTATTAGGCATGTTCAGCACCTTGGTTACTTATAAAGTAAAAATCAAATAAACAAACACTTTGAGCTATCATTCTCTACTCTCTACTTAGCCTTCTTTGTGGCAAGTTAAAATAACAGCAGTCCTCTAGGTTGCTTCAGTGTTGTTAAGCCAGCAGAATGGAAACAGAGGTCTATCACGGCCAATTTCAAATTAATTGCAAAGAGAGAGGTGCAGAAAATAAAGGGAAATACAGGTGGAATGATTACCAATTATTAGGACCCAATATCGTAAAATACTATTTCAATTTAGATGCCATATCGCATCTCCCCAGATATTTTAAAACCATCTATGTTCTTAAGACATACCATATTATTCCAGTATCTCAAAAATTCAAAGGAGAAATTGGCTGGATTCAAATATAAATATAAATTCTAATACAGTCAGTTGTTTGGAGTGTATGTATCAACTCTTATATTGTTCAACAAATCAAAATCACAAATCCACCATCAAAATTATGTGTGAGTATATCCACAATTCCAAACCAGAGTTTACAATAGAATTAGAACTCCATAATTTAAAACTTAAAGCATGGGTTAGGATTTTTAATCTAAAGGGGCAAAGATTTAGAGTTGCACATATAATCATCCTCAACACTCCCTTTTCTACAGAGCAGCTTTTTCAGATGCAAGGCATTGGCCATAACTGCAGTCACTCTTAATGAAAAAGGGTGTTGGTACTTACCTGATATGCCTCTTCTAATAAGGGGGAGATAGCATCCATATATGGGTTGACACTGTCTGTATCCTGATTGTACTGAGTCTGATTACTAATTAATTAGCGAGCCTTATAACCCCCTTCTGGTGCGGCTCCACTCAGTTTTTCGACGAAGAAAATAAATACAGACTCAAAGGTGTTATCCAACAATAGCTTTAGTAAAAAACTCATGAACAGTACAAATAGCACTGAACCCTTAAGGAAGTCAAAGGTATACACAACATGGAGACACAGCTAGAACTGGTGCAGCAGATGGGAGGGGCTGGATGCTGTCTACTGCTTATTAGAAGAGGCGAATCAGGTAAGTACCAACGCCCTTTCTCAATAAGGGTGGAGATAGCATCCATGTATGGAACATACCCAAGTCCAACCGTTCTCAAGGCAGGAAAGTAGACCGTTCTAGCTGATAACTCTCAGACCTGACTGCTTGCAAGACCCTACGACCAAAGGCTGCATCCGCAGAAATGAACTTATCTAATCTGTAGTGCCTGATAAAAGGCGAAGGGGATGCCCACACCGCGGCCCTGCAGACCTCACCCAAGGAGGCTTGAGTAGCCCACGCCGTGGTGGAGGCAGCGCTCCTTGTGGAATGAGCGGTGATGCTGCTTGGTGCCGCCTCCCCTTGTGATTCATATGCCATTCCAATGCAACGCCTGACCCACCTGCCAATGCTAGCCACAGATACCTTCTGACCCAGGAATGCGGTATGAAAAGAGACAAAAAGCGTCTCTTACGTACTGGGGATGTATTATCTATATAAATTTGAAGCGCTTGGCACATGTCTAGATTGTACCAAAGTGCCTTTAAATGATGCTCAGGAGTGGGAGAAAAAAATCAGGTAACATGAGCTCCTGGGCTCGGTGAAACCAGGACCCCACCTTTGGAATGAATGTAGAGTCAAGACGTAAGACGACCCTATCCTGATATAACTTATACAGGTCCTCCTGAACGGATAAGGCATGTAGCTCCGAGATTTGCCTGGCAGATATTATTGCCACCAGAAAGGCCACCTTCCAGGTAAGTATCTGTAGGGGGACTTCACGCAGAGGCTCGAAAGGCAGCTTGGTGAGAGCCTCTAGGACCTTGGTAAGATCCCAAGTGGGGTACTTGTGTACTACGGGAGGTCGCAACTTTGCAGCTCCCTACAGGAACCTCTTGACAGTAGGGTGTTGAGAAAGGGTCTGCCCCCCTCCCCAGGCAAGTATGGTCCCTAAGGCTGCCACCTGTCGCCTAATGGTATTAGGTGAGAGTCCCCTGTCCAGCCCGTCCTGCAAGAACTCCAGCACCTGGGGAATGGAGGAACTCTCTGGAATGATATGATTACTGGAACTCCAAGTACAGAATATTTTCCACAGAGCATTGTAGATGCGTGTCGTGGACGGCCTCCTGGAGGCCTGAATTGTGTTAATGACGCTGTCCGAGTACTCGCCCCCTCTCAGAGCGAGCCGCTCAATCACCAGGCAGTCAACTAAAGCCATCGGGCCTCCAGGTGCTCCAGCAACCCCTGGGTGAGGGCTATCCGGTCCGATGGGATCCTCCAGGGTCGCTCTGATGACAATGTCTGAAGGTCCGCGAACCATGGTCGCCGTGGCCAGCCTGGAGACTGATGATTCTACAGATCACCCTGGGGAGGAGGGGTGTAGGTAGAAAAGCATAAAGCAGACCCCTTGGCCAGGGACTGCAAAGGGCGTCCATCCCTTCCGCTTCCAGTGTGTGGAATCTCATGTGGAACCTGGGGACTGTGTATTGGAAGGGGTGGCAAACAGGCCCACAATCGGTGTTCCGAAACATCTTGTAATCTCCTGAAAAAGAGAAGGGTGTAACCACCATTCTGCTTAGTCTATCTTGGTTCTGCTAAGCCAGTCAGTTCTAACATTATCCACCCTCGAAATATGTTCAGCTGTGATGGACAAGAGGTTCTTTTCAGCCCAGGCTCCCAGAGAACTAGCCTCTAGCATGAGATCCTTAGACGTGGTTCCCCCCTGCCTATTCATGTGGGCTCTGGCCGTGATATTATCCGTTAGGATCAGTACAAGTTGTTCGGAGATGAGGGGCTGAAATTCTAACAGAGCAAATCGTATAGCCCTAAGCTCTAACCAGTTAATGCTCATGGTGGCCTCCTCCCGAGACCACTGATCCTGGATGATGTGTGAATTCATGTGGGACCCCCAGCCATATAGGCTGGCGTCCATGGTGATGGTGACCCTGTCACTCACCCTAATGTGACACCCCTTCAGAATGGTGGAAGACCTCCACCACCTAAGCGCCTGCCGCACCTCCCCGGGCACAGCCACCCTCACTAGGGAGTTACTATTCTCCTCTTCTGGAAGGGAAGTAAAAACCACTGGAGGTCTCTAGTGTGAAGTCTAGCCCAGGGGACTATGGC